ATAGTCATAACAACTAAAAAAAAGTGTTGAAAAGAGAAAACATTTACAAAATTGCTATCAGGTGAAGAAGTAATCAAACAGGTTAAAAAAAAAGCTCTAAATTTCAGATTTCTGGATTAGGGATGCTCAACTGTTTGGGGAAAGTACCTTCTAGTACAGAGACAGCATAATAAGTCCATAGTATTTATACTACTAATATAAATTTTCCTCATTTTATTTAGCCTGCTTGACTTTATCAATATTAAGAGAAGACAAACACTGTACTGTTAATTGTTTTTAAGCATATGAAGGTTATTCAACTCTTGATTCTCCTTCTCTTCTTGCAGAACAAGCACTTCACAGACTTATTTTCTAATCTTCACTTCTAATTTTGTAAACTACCATTTTTGTACGTGCCTAGTAGTGACTCATGCTGAAAATACTAAATTTGATTTACTTTACTCTGGAGAAGTTAAATTTTACAATTTTTTCTTAGTCATTTATTTAAACCACAAAGAGTCAAAATAGAAAGTGAAATTACAGTTCATTTACATTTCAAGAGAATAAAATTATCTGAAAATCATCTGAAAATTCTCAAGGAAAAAATGAACAAAATTCTGAATGATACCAAGCTCAAATATGAGTCCCAATAAGTATCTGCAATAATATTTTTAATTTGTTCAATTAATGGTCATATATTTTTAATTTGTTCAATATATTCTTTAACATTACTACCTTTAAGTCCCTTAAAATTTCTTAATAAAGTCTCAGCCAAAGCATCACAACTGAAAGAGTAAGCCAATTACACCAAATGCCATTTTTTCAAAAATGTCTAAAACACAAGACAGCATTTAATTGCACCAGGTAGAAATAGCTCTGACGTGCTCATGGAGAATTCAAGAGATTCTGAACTATATAATTTACAGTTAATGATATTTCCTTATGCTGTAATTAATTTTGGACAGCCACATTTTCTGATATAACACAAAAAAGTTTATGTATTTCATTTTCTTTGGAATTTGAATATTGTTTTGCAATTGTATGCATGGATTTTGGTTTCATAGAAGTACAGGTGACACAACTTGAGGAATTTGTCCAATTTTGCAGCAGTACATAAGGAAGCTTACATGGCTCTGTCCACACTGGGCAAAAGGAGAATGCCTTTGTCGACATGATGTGGAAAACGCTGATCTACATACATACGTTCTTTGAAAATAGAGTTGCTTTTATACCATGGATAATTACAAATGTAATGCATTCCACTATTGTCATGTATATAAGAAATAAAAAAATAGATTTTCTGCCTTTATCATTGGCTTAACAACAATATTAATGATTCCATTCTGAATATATTGAGGTAAATATATGTACAAACATACATACATATATGTGCATATATATATAATACAAATACGTAGCAAGTACTTTAAAGAAAACAAAATTAAAATGGTGATTTTACTGTGCACTATATTTCATGGTGACATTTTTGTACTTACCTAGTAGTAACTACTACTGTACATGATTTTATCATTAACCTGCTTTATACTGAAAAAGTGTGCTTATGTGGTATATGTTGATTTGTATACTTAACTAAACTGAAAAAGAAAAAAAAATTATACCAAGCATAAAAGTCCAAGCTGTATTCAGATTACATCAAACTAATACAAATTCTGAAAAAGTATTAAAAAACATAATAAAACTTACTGAACTATCAAAGGTTTATCAGCAAAAATAAAAGGTTTTGCTAACACAGCAGATATGGCATGATGCTTTGCTCTAGATTTCAATACCAATCCTCTGTCACCAGGTACCCCGTTTTCCTTCAACTCTTCTATTTCCCATCTTCCTAAAAAATAAAGCAAAGCAAATTAGAACAGAAAATTCTGACTTAAGAATTATTTTATAGCAGTCGTAAACAAATTTTTCTATGAAGGATGATTTGAGAAAAGTAAACCCAAATTATAGGTAAAAAAAAATGACATTTGTAGCTGCATATACACTGGCCTTTTCCCCTTTCTTTTCTTTTTTCCTATTAGAGAATGGTTTCATTTTGTTAGATAGAACTGTGAAATCTAATAAATAACAAACACTATAGTATCTGACTGAGGCACTTCTAAAGCTGGATGTGCTTCATTTTTCTCTTAACAGGTTTTTTTTTGAAGAATTACAAAATATGAATTGTCTCAGGGTCTATCAACATTGAATTTTTAAAGTGAGATATTGAAAACTGCATGTGATAAAGAGCATCCTTAATTCAGTACCAGCCATGGACTCAGTCCATTAGCATATTTTGAAACGCTCGGTACTTGTCAGCTACCTTACTTATTCACAGTAGTAATTGCAGGAATTTAAATTTCACTTTGAAATCAGTATGCTTAACTCACATACACCCCTCACAGGCAGTGCCAAACATCTCAGGAAAGCAGAAAGCCTGAGATCAGCACTGAGCTGCTTGGCAAAGCTGTCAGGCCTCTCTGGGTTGGGATTTCCCAGTCTAGAATGGCTCCTGCCTTCGGATCAAGGGACTGCACTACATGTAAAGCCACGTGGGCCATCTGCAGCCCAAAAGTGGTATGCTGGACTCCTTTTTAATACTTTAGAAAGCCAACCTATATTAATGTGTCTACATTTATTTGGTTTTAAAATAAGAGATATTGTTAAGTCAATTCAGCAAAAACTGGTTATTTTCCCAATATTTTGTCAACTCAAATATTTATTAGTGGGCACTTTTGAAATCATTAATGCTTGTTACTTTTTTTTCTTTCTAAAAAAATTGTAAGAATAAAAAGTTCTATGAATCAAAAAGGTGATTTTTGGTCTACTGCTGGGGACACTTTTAGTATTATTAAAAATGCTTTTTAAAAAAAGTTTTTAGGTTTTTCATCATCCCCAATTTGGTGATAGTATACTTCTAAAAGGTAAATTTATTTGGTTTTTATTCCCTCTCATTGACAATGAATTATATTATTACTAACCCCCCTCTCCCTGCAGTTCACCAAAATAGGTCATATATTAAGAACTAACAACTTTTGGATTTTTCAAGATGGTGATTTAGTAAAAGATTTTAAAAATTATGTTATTTTTCTTGTAATTATGTATGTATATTTAGCATCTATGAAAAATGTATCACTTAGCACTTTTAAAAACAAGGTAATTTCTACAAAAGACAAGAGGTTTTCCCCAATTTAAACAATAACTCTCTATTAACCACATTGTTTACCTAAATTCTGGAAAATACTAGATAATATAAATTCCCTTGTTAATAAAATTTCACAAAAACTGTACATACTTATTTATAAGACATTCCGAAATTTGGTTAATTGAAGAATTAGAATTTACAACATCTACATTTACAACATCTACATATTTTTTTAAAAATCTGAAATTCTTGGATAATTCTCCCCAAATGCACAATTTTCATCCCTAAACTTAATGTTTTGTACAGATTTTCTTACTGCTGAAAAGCCTGGAGTGATTTTTTATTCAGGGGCTATTGTATAGAAGCTGTGATTAAATACTGAGAATACTACATAGTCTGCCAAACAACCTGATCTTGGTATCAATCAACTACTGTGTAGACAACACCGCTGATATCAATACCCAACACCATCTTTAGAATCTGGAACTTTAAGACTCCACACTTTTCAAAGTTGCTTTAAGACATCAAAAAAGTCAGGCTGGCTATATCTAATATGGTAATGTAATTTTTTTCAGTACCCCTTAATTTTTTTAACAGTAAAGTACTACACACAGAAAACAATGTCACCCACTATTTCAGTCACCCCTGTACATGTTTCAGTATGGTCAGTTCTAGGTGACTGTGAGTTATTTATAAGCAATCTGCATTTTCACACCCAGGAGAATCTATATATTTGTTAAATTTTTATTTACTTGAATATTTAATAAGTCAACAGGTTAAATTGGGCTGCTAAGAAAATGTTTTCTTTTACTTGTTTTTAATTTTAATCTGGGGGGGGGAACTAAACACTAAAAGCTATTTTTGATAAGTAGTAAGTAGACAGTTAAATTTAATCTCAAGAAGGACCACATCTAATTTTTAGGGATGCTCCATTAATGGATTCTTACAAAATACATAGGTAAAGCAAATACTAAGTCAATGTTCTGGGAAAAAACTATAAAGTATTTAAACATAGATGTATGAGACCAAGCACTCTGTTTGGTAATGTACCCTGTGTTTATGTGAATTTATTTTAGGAAGCATCATATACCTCTGCAGACTCACTGCTTCCCTGGAGGAAACAATTCTTTTCTGTGAATGGATTTAGACCAAATGCAGTATTGTTTGTTCTGAGCATATGGAGGTACCCCTTTTGGAGTATATAAACACATAAAACCAAGAAGGATTTGCAGGAATGAAGAACACTTTGAGCAAAGGATGATATACAGACATGATCTTTATCCTCCACTAAAATAAAATAAAACTATAAAAAGGAAGTACACAGCTAATATCCAACACATACCCTTACTGGTTTTGTTCTCATATACCTGCCTACCAGGGTGGAAGTATGATGAGGGAAAATTCCATTATTGGCCACCTTGGAAGTGGCTGATCTTCCCTCAGGACACCATCATTGAGGAGGCTGGTTGTGGACTACAGGGAATTCTTCTGTCATTCTCTGGGATGGTCTTATTAGGGGGAAAGGAGACCCTTGCACCCAGGACAGTTCTTTCTATAGCCATGCCAATGGTGATGCTATCAGAGATCCTGTGATAGTGGATGTAGGCTGGAGACCGGGATCTAGGCGTAGCCATGTACCTTGTAGCTCACGTTATTAGCCTCTGACTGGCACTCACTAGGAGAATCTTGCCATAAATTAGAACTTGATCGAGGTGTACCCAAGCTTGAGGTAACATTGTAGGGAACAGCTGTGGTCTGGGAAATAACTGCTTTAAGATGAACTTCAATAGAGTGAAAATTCAACTGTTTGAGATTAAAAAAAAAAAAAAAAACAACTGGACTGTGGCTTAAAAGGGATTTCCAGAAGTACTGAAAAGGGATGAGTTAAAAATAAAAAACTGGACGTTTTATGGCAAAGCAGGATGGGTCCTCTAGCCAAATAATTTAATGACAATATAATCTTAAAAGCTAGTGAGCTCTGGATCACAGTAATTATATCAAATATTTAAATATTTTACCATCATATATAGAAATCTCTGCATCCACATCATCTTTTTTTGCTTTTGATAAGACCCATCTGTAAACAAAGTTGAAAACACATGTTTATTTATTTAAAATAAAACTAGTATTTTATAGACAAAATGAATATTAGAAGCATGAAAGATTATCCAACACTGTCCCTTTTCATTCAAAAATAATGAATACTTAGGCTGACTCTGCAAGCCTAGAGTCAGGCCAAATTCAGAATCTGCAATTAGCCAACTGTGTGATCACAAAGCCTCAGTTTCCTCACCTATAAAATGAGGCTAAATATAATAATTACCTATTTAGCTCAGAAAAAATAATAAATAATATTAACTTTCATTGGTTTACCATTGTATAGGCCAGAATAGTAACTACTCCAATTTGTACTCTGAAATGAAGAAATGTTTTGTTTTTTCTTTACATTCAAAATTTATTTGTATCTTTCTTTGCATAAATAACTATACAAATTAAACATTTATCAGTAAAAAATACTTGAATATTAGCTTATGCTGTCAAATAATGTCCTGTAAAATTTTTTATAGCTCTGTAATAGAACTAATTCTCATAGGCCAATAATCAATAACTTCAAAAAAACTAATCAAATCAAGGAAAACCTTCTGTTGAGTGAATACTCACCCAGCTAACTTTCCACTGTCAAAGGTTTCTGTAAAATACACTTCTCCTTTAGGCTGTGGAGTCTTATATTTAATCTAAATAAAAGAATTTTAAAGTTACACATCTTTGCAAATATTTTAAATAGATAACCTATCTAGTTATGAACCTAGTAGACGATGCGTATGAAGGTGACATGGAGCTGAGGTGGCACGGCTCTGATCTCAAGACTGAATCCTAGCAATGGTAAAACACAAGTGAATAGAACACGGTGACGAGACCCACTGACCTCTGCCTCCACTGGGAAAAGGGGGGTGGTTAAAAAGGCCTCGGGACACACTTGAATGGTTTCAGGATTCTGATAAGTGACATTATTTTTGGATAAAAGTCATGAGAAGCAAAGGAAATAGCAAAACAAAAAGCATATAAATTGAAAACCTTAGTAAACGTCTAGACTAGTTTAAAACTAAGTCTTACATCTCACTGGTAGGTGACTAAATGATAATGGTGCCATTGTCAGAGGCTGTGACCCCAAAGAAGAGACAAATCGGAAGGAGGCAGCATTGCTAAGTGGCCATCAGCAAAGCACTGTCTCAAGTGCCAGTAAGTGCAGGCTGTTTTGATGGGGTGGGGTCAGAGCATGCCGTGGCACACGTGGCTCCTTGGAGGGAAGGAAGTGCTGCTGTGGTGCCCACTTACGGAAGATGAGACTCTAGGAAAGAGCCCCGAAGTTTGCCCTGGGTCACACAGGCAGCTAGAGGATTACGAATGGGCACAGACTGGCCCCAAGTTCATAGCCCCCTTACCACACTACACAGACTGTGCCAACAAAGTAACTTAAAAGATTAGGTGACCGACAAATTATCAAAACATAACTTGAACTGATGATGAATGGATAAAAATTTGCCTAAAGTAATAGATAATCTGGTACTTTATGAACCCGACTGTTGTGATTTTGTCTGTATGATTAGCTATAAAATTTCTCCTCTCAGCCATTAGGGAAAAGGGTGCAGAGATACTTTTTCTATTTTCACCCTACCCCTTGTAAAGACAGTAGAATGGTTCTTTATCAGTTTAAAAGAAGAATATCATTAATTAAACACATAATTTCTGAGAGGGTCAAGATTCAGTTACCAAAATTGCTAATTTTCTATGAAGTTTACCCATTTATAACTTCACTTTTCTCTATATTTTTGTAGACTGGTTAAATGGGCATAGGTGTCACAAGAAGCTTCTTTTTCTTAGATTGACCTTAAAACACCAGCAGTTTGTTTTGCCCTTTATTTATACTTTATGTATCTTAATTACTCATGGTATAAATTTAGAAGCATTAAAAAAATTGTTCTTTTCTCCACTGATCAGTGGAGTAGAAGGAGATTGGTGGGAGGACAGGAAAAGAAAGGAACTTTGGGGTGAAATTGGTCAAATTATGCTATTTATATATAGGAATATATATATAATTCACCACAGTGAATTCCACATTTATGTATAAAGCACCAATTGAAAATAATTAATAAATAGAAGGAAGATCAGTACTCTAGAGGAAAGGGAATGGGGAGGGTGGAGGGGAGGGAAAGTGGGAGTCCTGGGGACTGAAGTGAAGCAAGCTATATTCCGTGCATGTCTGATGATGTCAAAATAAACTCCATTATACACACAACTATAATGTACTAAACAAAACAAATTTAACAATTTTTCTTTCCCACTCCCTATCATCTTCTCAAATTATCACCAAATATAGTTAAGTGTGATGTCTGTCAATTTTTTTAAAGCCTGAACTCCAAAGACCCCTATGGTAGCTGTATCTAAGTCAGCCTGTAGCCCTTCAAGCACTTATTTGCTGGTCACAGAACTAGATTTTCAAAGACATGTCCTTACAGAGCTTAAAATTTAAGAGGGCAAGCAGAATATCCACTTTAAATAGCTAAACAACACTTACATTTTAAAATACAAAACTCCTAATGAAGGGAAATGAAGCACAGATGTCTATAAACCATCATTTCCCTTAGCCTTGAACCAGTGCCTGACACAATAGGAAGATGATAGAATGAACGCTTTCCTAAACTCTAAATAGCTCCAATTGTCAAGAACATTCCCCAACAGGAACACTCTCCCCTCCTCCTCCCTTCCCACCCCTCGCCCGCCCCCTTCCCTCTTCCCCTCTCCTCCTCCTTTTTTTCTTTTTCTTTTCTTTTCTTTTCTCTCCTTCCTTCCTTCCTTCCTTCCTTCCTTCCCTCCTTCCCTCCCTGGGATTGAACCTATGGGCACTTAACCACTGAGCCACACCCCCAGGCCTTTTTATTTTCTATTTTGAGACAGAGTCTCGCTAAGAGGCTTGGGGTCTCCTTAAATTACTGAGGCTGGCCTTGAACGTGAAATCTTCCTCAGCCTCCTGAGTCACTGGGATTACAGGTGTGTGCCACCTTGCTCTTCTGCATAGTCAGACACCAGTCCCCAGACTCCCGTTAGCAGCCCCCTCAAAGCACACATCTCAGTGATGCTGAGGCAGAAATGTGGGTCAGGCCCAGCTCATTTTCACTCCCTTTCTACTTCGCCCTCCGTTAGCATTTTCTTCCTCCAAGAAATCTTTACTTCCTGAAGACCACATGTTACACTACCCTTTATTTCACTGACAGTGTCAGAAATAAAACTTAAAATAACCTTACTGCTAGCTGAAGTACTTGGTCCTCTTCAACCGGTGATGAGCTCCTGTTTTGGCAGGAAAAACCTTCTGCATATTTATTTAACAAAACTATACTAGGTGCCACATTAGTTTCTGTTGTATGTAGGCACTTTTAAAACTACAGCAACAAGATAGTCAGGAAAAAGCAATGCTTTTCTATCTATTTGGAAAATGAAGACTCTTGGAACTGAGATGAATCCTAAGAGACCAGCCACTTCTATGCATCTTGTAAAAGAATAATTTATAATTCATTTCTCAATAACCTTACCTCTGAGGAATGTTCACCTTCATTAACATCAACCTCTTCTGAATGTTCACTGAAGTCTTCCACCTCAACACTGTCATCCATAAATTCTGCATTGAGCGAGGTGAACAGAAGACCCAAACATAGTCCAAAGCCTTGGAAATGCATACTGACTACCTATAAAATTAATCAGTGAAAAGAAGACAAAATTATAAAAGATTCACGTTAAGTATTATAGAAAGAAATGACTTCTCCTTAATACCACCTTTATTCTAAGATAACTTTTAAAACCAATCGTCAACAAAATTATTTAAATTTTACTTTGAAAATAAGACACAAATTATCTAGCAAGCAGATTCCATTGCTGCAGATCTTCTTCTAAAAACAAAGAGTCAACAGCACAAAATCTAAAGATACAAGTAATAATGATTTTCAAACTCAAATAATAGGTAGACCACCTTAAAAATATGAAAAACTATGATTCCTAAATGTCCTGAAATTGTTTTATTATAATGCTGCTTATGTGTATATGGACAACTGGAAATTTTATAATTATAAAACTAATATACATTTACATTTAAGCACCAAAGAAGCTAAAGGAAAAGAATTTTTATCACACATATAATGGAATGTTTGCCAGAATCAAATAATACCTAAAAGACTAGACAAATCTGGGCCTTGCTGCCAACAAGCTGTCCACTATAGAGAAATCCTATAATTCTGTAACAACGCAATTATCCGACCATTCCTCTGTTCCAATATTGCAAAACTTCTGTTCCTTATGGCTTTGAGATGAGTAAAAGACAAACACAATTTGGCTGACTTTTGGCAGAAGTACATGAGTTATATAATTATATCCTCCTATTCATCCATTAGCACATAAATTCAAGTTTTGTTTCTTGGTACCAATAGACTTTCAAACAAGTAAATGTGAAGATTAATGCAGTGTGGCAGGCTTTGATTTATACAGTTTCAGTTATCCAGATAATCCAGAATTCATATACATTACTCTTTTTCCAAAATTAACAGCCAACATGAAAGAAACTTTTTAAAAAGTAATTGTTAGCACTCTTGGACCCTTCAGAACATACCTATCCATGTACATGGGCCTGCTTAGGAAACAAAGGCTTAACAATGAGAAAACACTCTACACCCACCAGAATGGCTATGATAGAAAAGAGACAATAACAACTACTGGGAACATGGAGAAATTGGAACTCATACACTGTTAGGAGTGTGGGACTTTAAAATGTTATCAATAGTTTTGGAAAATAATGTGGCAGTTTTTTTTTTTTTTTAAAAAGGTAAAAGACAATTATGACTCAGCAATTCCACTCCTACACATCCAAGAGAAATTGAATGTCCACATAAAAACTTGTATACAAATGTTAAAATATTTTTCATGTTAGCTAAATAGTGGAAACTATCTGTCCATCCAACAAAATAGTCCAGCAACTTATGAACTGAGAATCCAAAAAATGTCCATCATTTATCAAATGTCCAACTTATGAACTGACAATATTTAGAATAGCATATTGTGAAACAGCATTCTACAATAAAAATGGAGTAAGGATATCGCCACAAAATATATGGACATCAAATGCTGAGTAGACGAAGTCAGTCACAAAACCCCACATATTGTATGATCCCACTTGGAAGAAACAGGCAAACCCATAGAGTTTGCAAATAGATTGGAGACTGCCTAGAGAAGGGTTGAGGGGAGGGTTAACGGGCACAAGGCTTCTTTTTCGGTGATGGACAGTACCAGTATTGGAATAGGTAATGGTAATATACCAAAACCCACTAAATTACACATATTAAACAGGTAAATTGATGGTATGCAATTTAAGTGTTAAAATAAAGCATTTTCTTAATTAGCTCAAGTGATAAAACCCTTTTCAATGAGATCAAAACTTTACTTTAATGTATGGGCCAGTTAACTTGCTTTCTTCCCACATACTGGCTATGCCACTACAATTTACTTTGAAAATGTACCTTCTCAAAAACACTCCACCTTACAGGAGCTTTCTATACTCAAGTGTGTTAATGCTGTCATCTTCATAGACAAGAGTCAACCCATGAAAAATTGATTCGTTTGTAAGGGTCATTTGGTCTCTCTCAATCATAAAAGAGGTGTAACTGGGATAGGAATTAGGAGATCAATCTGAGTAACAACAGTAAAGTTTCTTAATTTTCACTTTACTGGCAGAGAAAATAGGATATGTGCAAGTGGCATATTGTCAACTCAAAAGCTTCACTGTTCTAAAAGTCTAAGTCTTCAGTAGTTTATTATAATGCAATAAAAGGTGTTTTGTGTGATTTGCTAGAATAGCCCTTGAGTAAAACAGAAACACATAATCTAATAGTAATAATGAAAAAAAAGAACATTAATATTACTATAGATCCATATTTTCTCTTTCAAAATGAACAATGCTCAGGTTCCCAATAGTTAATTAGTTGAAAAATGCACTCTAAGTGCTCTGATTGAGCTCTGCTGCCCAGGCTGCCAGGCAGAGAGCAGGGGAGGTACGCAGGGTGAGCCCCTCTGGCACTCTAGCTTTAACTCATCTAGAGCATCCACTGTACTTATTTTCTTTAGGCCAGTTCTTCTGAACTTTCCCTTAGAAATAGTACTACTGCCTCAGAAAAGGCTCAGGAAGTGCTTGACCTTCAAAGTTTGTGGGTTTTTTTCCTAAAGTTTAAAGACTATGATCTTACATTTACATAAAAGGACTAGCTAACTTTGTTTTTTATATATTAAAATAGCGATGGTATTACATTTCTAATCTACAAGAGGAAAACAGATCTACTTTTAAAAAATTTTTTAGTTGTTGATGGACCTTTATTTTATTTATTTATATGTGGTGTTGAGAATTGAACCCAATGCCTTACACATGCCAGGCAAGTATGCTACCACTAAGCCCCAGCCCCAGCCCAGGAAAACAGATTTAAAAACTTGATCAACGTTTTCTTAAAAATGTGAAAAACATGATTAGAATACAGAACTTTTTGCTAGTATACTGTTATCTTCTCTTTTCATTACATACCACTCTATTATTATATGCATAATATAATAAGAAATTTCATAAGAAACCACACAGATGCAACAAAATACATTTTCAAACCTCTAGGGAATTTACAAATTTAGAGTAGCATTACCTTGTGAAGTTACTTACACAGAAATGGTTCTATCTACTTTACTATGGACATGAAATATGTTTAAAATGTACTGTAATCATTCACAAAGTATTCTGTAGACAATACAATTATATAGGATAATAGTCTCCTTTAAGAAGATGTCCAAGGTTATTATTTTTTGGTGGGTCCTGGGGATTGGACTCAGGGGCACTCAACCACTAAGCTACATCCCCAGCCCTATTTTGTATTTTATTTGGCGACGGGGTTCTCCTGATTTGCTTAGGGCTTTGCTAAATTGCTGAAGCTGGCTTTGAACTCATGATCCTTCTTCCTTAGCCTCCTGAGCTGCTGGGATTATAGGTGTGCACCACTGCCCAGCCAAGTCCAAGGTTAATGTTCAGACCTAATGGTTTCTAATAACTTAAATTTGCAGTAACCCTTTTATTCAATGATGCTCTGGCTGACACGAATTAGATCACAAAGCTCATGTCTATCACAAAATGGTGCCAATGTGTCATTCCATTCCAAGCCTTGTCACCTCTTGTTTCTTAAATACACTGTCAGGTCTTCCTGAAACCTTGAGAGGCCTGATGATAGGGAACACTACAAAAAAACAGAAATAATTCACTGGAGTATTTTTACAACTGTGATAGAACAGATACAAGTTTTACAATTTCAACCAGTTTCAACTGTATAGTTCAACAGTGTTGAGTACTTTCATACTATTGTACAACAAGTCTCAAAAATTTTCATTTTGTAAAGCTAAATCTCTGCTCATTAAATGACAACGTCCTCTTCCTTCTTCTGTCCAGCCCTATTCTACTTTTTGTCTCCCTGAGTCTGACCAAGTACAATCACACAGTATCCATCTTTCTGTAACTGGTTTCTTTCATCTACCTTAATGCCCTCAAGATTCAACCCAAGTTGTAGCATGTGTCAGAATTTCATTTGTTTTTAAAGCTGAATAATATTCTATTGTATTTGCCACATTTTGTTTTTACATTCATCTGTCAACAGACACATGGTTACTTCTGCCTTTTGGCTAATGTTAATAACTACAGTGAACATAGCTGTATATGTCATTTTGAGACCCTGTGTTCAGTTCTTCTCGCTGTGTACCAACTGCCCAATTAGGTGATAATTCTGTCTTTCAGCTTTTTGAGAAACCTCCGTGCTGCTCTCCGTAGCACTGCACTGTTCTGTATTCCCAACAATGGGGCACACACCCTTGCCCATACTGTTTTATCCAGCAGTGGCCCTAACAGGAATGTGGGGCATCACGCTGTGGTTCTGACGCGCACACTCCCCTGATGACCAGTGATGCTGAGTGTCTTTCCACGGGTTTGCTGGTCATCTGAGTGTCTTCTATGAAGACATGACTATTTAAATCCTTTGCCCATTTTTTAAATTCAGGAAGCTGTTTTGGTTTTAATTGTGGAGCTTTAAGATGTCTTTACATCTTCTAAACACTGACCCCCTTATCAGATATATGATTTATAAATATTTTTTTCTCATCCTCATAGGGTCTTCATTCTGTTTATTGTGTCCTTGATGTTCAGAAATTTTTAAATTTTGAAGTAGTCTGATTTACCTATGTTTTTGGTTGCCTGTGCTTTTGGTGTCATTTTAAAAATAATCATTGCCAAATCCAATGTCATGAAGTTTTTCCATGCTTTAAGGATTTTACAGATTTAGCTATTAGGTTTAAGTCTTCAATTCATTTTAAGAGCCAGTTTCCCCCAGTATATTTGATGAGAAGACTGTTAACTCCACAATGAGTGGCCTGTGACTTGCTGAAAACCATTTGGACACATATGCAAGAGTTTATTTTGGTCTGTTGATTCAGCAGGCGTATGTCTGTTTCTATGCCAGTCCTACACTAATTTGATTGTTGTAGCTTTATAAAAGGTTTCAAAATCAGACAGTAGGAAACCTTCAACTTTATTCTTCTTTCTCAAGATTGCTTTGGCTATTCAGGATCCCTTCCAATTTCACATGAATTTTAGAATAGATGTTTCTAACTGCTTCAAAAATTGTCA